AGGTCATGATCCTGGAGTCCCGGGATCAAGTCCCACATCGGGCTCCCTGCTCGGCGGGGAGTCTGCTTCTCCCTCTGACCCTCCCCCCTCTCATGCGTTCTCTCTCATTCTCTCTCTCAAATTAAAAAAAAAAAAAAAAAAAGTTGAGGAAACCGAAGCTTGAGGACCTGTGCGTCGCCTGGAACCCCCCGCCGGGAAGTAGCTGTGCCCCCAGGGCTGGTGCTGCCTATCACCCAGGTGGCAGGGAGGCAGCATGCTCAAGTGACCGTAAGGCTAGCGAGGACTTCCCCGGCCAGGAGCAACCCCACGGCACCCCAGACAGCAGGGTGGTGCGAGCTCCAAGGCAGAGGCACCACAGAGCCACCCAGACCCCTCAACAGTCTACCCATAGGGCTGTGCGTGCAGTCTCGAGAGGCAGACCGTCAGTCCCTTGCCACCATGCAGCCAGATGACCAGGCCTTCACGTGCCCAGAATCCCCGCTCCAGACTACGGCTGTGGTTCCCTCACCCCCTTCCCCTACCCAGGCCCTCAAGCCCCGCCCCCGCTCACAAGGTGAAACACTGCTCTGCACAACCGGACAGAGAGAGGAGTGAAGACAGAAACAAGGGAGGGGCAGGCTCAGAATTCAGGACAAAGGTCATAGAGGGAGACAGACTTGGGAGACATATGCTAGGAAAAGCCAAGTAAAACACTAAAAATAAATAAGTAAACAAACAAATAACTGAATGCTCCTCAAGGGAAGCACTTCAGAGACAAGGGAGGAATTAAGGGTCAGAGGCAAGTGGCAGAAGAGTCCAAAAGATGCCACTAGGCTTGGCAGCCATGGTCCATGGGCCAGTAAGACTTCACTGTGCTCAATTAATTTAACCTATAACCAGACAACTTCTGAAGAGGGCAGAGGAAGGAAGGACATGCTCCGGCTTCTCTGACACATGTCAAGCGTACACATCTTTGCAGTGTCCTAAGAGAGAAGTAAACCGAGCAGACCTGGGCGCCGGCTATGCTGTCGGACCACATGCGCCTTCATGCTGTGCTTGGAGGTGAAGAGTCTGTTACAGCTGGACACCGGGCAACGGCTTTTCGGAGCACCCACGTCCTGCAGGTGTTTCTTGGAGTGAATGTAGAGGCTGCTACGGGCAGAGAACCTGGCACAGCACCCTGGAACAAAAAGACTGATGAGTGGTAAACCTGAGGATTCCCAAGAACCCAGTGCTGACATTTCCTCCCATTGGAATCATAAGACAATGCATGCCCATGCTCTGGCCACTGGCCAGGGACAGATACAATACGCCTTAGGGCAGCATCACAAATGTAGGGGCCAAGGCAGGCTGCCCCCAAGCCAGGCCTTTCTGGCAGGCAGATTATGCCAGCTGGAAACAATCAAGGCCCAAAAGACTCGGGAATAAACTTTGACATCCCTCTGCCTACTGTCTAAAAGAATTTAGATGGAGGACATGCTCCAGGAAAAAAGCTACCACCACAGATAACTACATTATGATACAAACTAGGTATGGGGGACAGGGAGGACCTAGCAAGGCCTGTTTGATCAAAGTCTGCTCTGTGTCCCATTGTTTCTGTGGGCCAGCAAACACTTGTTCACCAAACATTTACTTGTTTTCATTTTCCTATGAAATGCTTTCCTTCCCTCTGAAAGTCCCAGGTCCCTACCCACCCTTCTCTTTAGCTCAGGATGACATATATACTTCATTTTACCTGTCTCTGGAATCTCATGTCTGTGTGGCTTTTCCATACATATGAAATTAAATTTTATTTTCTCTTAATCTGTCTCATGTCAATTTAATTTAGTCCAGCTAGAACAACCTTGAAGGGCAGAAAAAAATTCTTCCTCCCTGACACAAGGAAATAAATTTGAAAGCAAACTGCATTTAAAAGGACACAGCAAGTTCCCCATCAGTTGTGTAGAAGACACATAACCTTGACAAGTTAACTCTGGGCCTGTTTCTTCACCCACTACACAGGGTTGCTGGGAAAACTAAGTCAAATTCAGTGTTAAACAGCCCCTTAAAAGTTCAATTGCTAAAAATTTGTACCAATTATCTGTACTTAGCTACTACTATAAAAACTGGAACCCTATGACATTTAGAGTTGGAACTTCTCTCAACAGATCACCAAAACCAATTCCTCTCATTTTACTACTGAGAAACTGAGGCCCAAAAGAACCAAGCAAATGACCCTAAATCAAGAGCACAAGTGAAGCCTGGAGGTGGCACTGCCTTGCTGACAACTCAACGGCTTAGCCAGAGTCAGTAAGATCACAGACCTGCACGTATGTGTCAGGTGGGAAAACAAGACAAATTAAAAAATACCACCACCTTCCTCTTGGCCTAACCTCCCACTGCTGAAACTCTGCACCACAGGGACACACAGAGGGGAAGCACGGTTCTAGGCAGCTACAAGCTTGTGACTTGGTAGGGATGTGTAAACAATCAGCTGTCCTAACAAAGGGCAAAATAAAACCAGTGCTAGTGCCATGGAGTGTTCTAGAAGCAGAAGAAACAGTGTACCTCTTGAGAGGAGAGAAAAAAGATTTCAAGAGGTGGGTAGCATTTGAGCTGACTGGGTCTTGACAAATGGTAGGGGCCACAGAGCAGAGCAGGAGGGTGTGCAGGCCGAGGCACTGCCATCCAAGGCGTGGAGGCCACGAAGCAGGGTGGGCAGAGCTTGGACTCTGGAGCCCAACTCTAGCTCAGACCCTACTGGCCATGTGCCTTATTTATTCTTTCCGGGTCTCCTTTTCCTTTTCTGTAAAGTGGGAATGACACCCGTCTCACAGGGGTTATGAAGACTACACGTAAACTATTCCAACCTACAGAGTGCTCGCACAGTGCCCACTGAAGTGGAGCGAGCATCACGGCACTTGTGGCAGCTTCTTGGGATGGCGAGGTGGAGCTGCTGGAGTCTAGGGCCTGGGGGGAGGCCTATTTTAGGAAAAGAGGCTATGAAGACAGAATATGGCCAGATGACTAAGGGTTTTGGCTGCCTCAGAGGAGTTTTGAACTTATTTCATTTTCAAACAAAGCTTCCAGCTTGTTTCCAGGTCAGGCTCATGAGAGAACATTTGGAAAACACACGAGAACAGACGCCTCCAGGCTCACCCCCAGGTGCACTGTCTGCAATGTGTGCTTTGCTCCACATGGTGCCCAGGGGTACTCTGTACCTGCCATGTCCCTCGGCCCCCTTTCCAGATGGGACTCCTCCACACAGACTTAACTGCTTTGCCGAGGACAGGGGTCAACCACAACAGGGATGTCTGCCACACTCGTCAGCAGTGATTTCCATTTTAAAAAATACTTGCTAACTCGACAGAGAACAAAATATTCTTCATTTTCATTTGTACATCCTTTGATGGCCAGCAATGTGACCATTTTTCCACGTGTGTTAATGGCTGTCTTTTCCTAACTGCAACAGTATCTACACCGAGATCTGTATCCATTCTTAACAAATCAAAACTATTAATACTAGCACCCCACATTTATACCAAGTTACCCCCACCCAGAGGAGGGGCAGAAGCAGCCCATCAATGACAAACACCATGGGAATCTCCTCAACTCCCATCTACCACTTACAGGAGGACCACACACATCTTCCAACCTCTACTCTGTATGCCTTGACTCTGTAAACACTGCCACGGCATATGAGAGGTGACGCCGCTGCGGCCACCACCATACACACACACACATACACACACGCGCGCGCGCACGCGCGCAGTCCTCACTCGACCACCCTGCCCTCCCCCATACACACTCACCGCTGTGTGGCCCTACCCTCCCTGTCTCCTCCAATTACTATGAAAAGATGGGTGGTGACGATTCTTTGATTTTTTTGTTGTTTTTAACTTTTTATTATGAAACATTTCAAACATTACAAAAGCAGAAAAAATGGTCTAGTCACCCATATTCAAGAATTATCAACTCTCATTAAAAAAAAAAAAAGAATCATCAACTCTCAGCCGACCCAAAAAAGGGTCCTAGGATCCTCTCCCGAGGCTCCTGCCCTCACCTCCACTCGCTGGAGAAGCGCGCTCTTCAACCAAGCACCACTGGTCACCCCATCTGCACCTGCCTCTACCAGCTCGACATGCTCAAAGTTCTCAAGCTTCCAGTTACTGCAAGGCAGAAACCACCCCTCCTCTGTAGCCAGCTACCACCCCCTTCCTCTTTCCCTCCCTCACAAGCCACCTCCTGCCTTACCCTACCCCACCACTCAAGGCACTAGAGCAGGGCTCTGCCTGAGCTACTCCACCGAACCTTGACCCTCACCCTGCAAGACCTCACTGACCCTGCTGGAGGAGCCCATGGTCCTCACCAAACTGCCGCCCCTCAGCACTCAGGACGGACCCTCTCCTTTCCCAGACATCCTCCTCTCTTGGCTTCAGTGCTACCAAGGCTACACTCTTCCCATTCCTTCTTAGGCCCCTGCCAGGGCACCCCTTCTACTTTTCCACCTGAGTTTGTGGCGGTCCCCAGGGTTTCTGTCCTAGGCCTTTCTGGTTTAATAGCAATGGTAACAATGGCTACTGCCATAATAGGGCCCTTTCAAAACAACCCTGTGTTACGACCACTTCAAAGATGGGGAAAAGAGGCAGAGAGTGCTTGAGCCACTTGTCAGAGGCTACAGAGCGACTTAAGCGGCAGGCTTTGGATTGGGGTCCAGGAAGCCTCAGGCCTTCAATCACCACACTCCTCCGCCCCTCTTCAGCGTACACCAATCCTTGAGCGCTGCATCCACCTCCATGGCTTAGATCATCACCATGTGCTGCCTGCCTCACTCCCAGCCCACCTCCTCACCAACCCCAGCAAGCAGTACATCCCTGCCTCCTGAGCATCTGAACTTGGAAAGCCTATGGGCACCTAAAATGCAGCACATTCTCTTCCTCCAACCACCAGCCCTGTGTGCCTACCTCAAGTGAGATGCTGGATCCAACTACTGCTTCACCCAAAACCCCTACTCCCAAATCCATCACCAAGCACTGCTGGTGCACTGTCTAACTCCTATCTCTCTCATCTGTGCCCTCTCTCCCTTCCCACTGCCAAGCCCCAGTGCAGGTGCCAATCATCTCCCCAGGAAACCAGACTGAGCCTAAAAACTCAATCATGGTCCCATCACTCCCCTGCCCTGAGCACCCAGCCTGCTGCTCTCACCATTCTGGGAGATGCCCCTACACTGGCCTCGCCGGCCTCCTCTACCCCTGGATAGCTCTGCCTCCTTCTTCAGCCAGCTGGGAGACCACTCCCACGCCCCCATGCTCTAGGAGCAGTCTGGGTGACCTGTGTGTCCCCACAGCACCCTACAGGTACTGGTCTACCTGGTGTGCCCCAACTGGAGCTCTGATGACAGGAGGAACTGTGTCTTGGTTAAACCATCTGTATTATCTTCATGACATTCTAGGAACCGGTCTTGGCTTCAAATTGGTCTTTATTATCCCTTTTCCAGATAAGGAAACTGAGGCCCAGAGTAGGTGGCCTGAGATCATCACCTGAGGGAGGGGGGAGCCAGGAATGAGACTCACAAGCACACACTGACCTGCTCTGCCCTCCCACACACCTGCAGCACTTACAGTAGGCCAGCACACACGAGCCACAGAGCACACTTCTGCCCATGAATCATGCCTTCGCTATGTAGAGAAAAAACATCTGAATGCCCTTTTTAAAAAGCTAGCCTAACCTAACTGCTGTCCAATCACAGCATGCACAACTACCATTTACTGAATCCATGATAGGTGCCAGATGCCAAAACAGGCATTTTTCACAGCTTATTTCACCTACTCCTCACAACCACCACATTAAACAGGTAGTAACTAGAGCCACAAATCTGGCGAGTGCACTTCAGAGCCAAGAGTCAAACCAGGTCTGATCCTAAAGTCTGTTCTTTTCAATACACTGCTCCCAAGATAAAACAATTAACTAAAACCGGCCAATTAAATCTAATGCTGCAACTTACACTCACCTTGTCTTGAAGCAAATAAAACTTACCTTTAAACAACTTAAACTTACAACAACATGGACACATGCTAGTTTACAGCTCAAAGTAATATATTAAAATCTACCTTCCACGGGACACTCGAATGGCTTTGTGCCCAGGTGGGTGATGCTATGGCCTTTCAGGTGCTCTGCTCTCGTGAATGACTTCCCACAGCCTTCAACAGGGCAGGTAAACCTCCGGTCGTCATCATGTTTCCTGCCAGAAGAGAAAAACAGGGAACAGTGATTATTCACACAACCCAGAGATACCAGACCTCGGAGGTGATTCTTTGTTTAAAATTCTGCAAATTACAAACTCTTAGCATTTAAAGAAAATGATCAGTACATTTCAGAAAATCTTAATTCTCTCTAACCCATGTGGACAGGTTTGCAATTTAGCTAACCCTGTAATTAGAAATTCTACTTTAATGACAAGGCTGACTTGAGACTCAGACACATCAATTAGTGCTGCTTCAATCTAGGAACACACAGCTGGGTCCCAAACGTATTGATGAAGCTACTTTCAATGTTTAGAAATTCTGGTAACAAACAAGGTTTCCAAGCTGCAGAGGGCAAAGAGAAACATGCACAGAAAATCAACTGCAATGCTAAAAGGACCCACTCAAGTCCCTGCATAAACACAGTTCTTTCCTAAGTACCACTGTTATACTTAAAACCCCTCAAATCCCCAGCTGTGCAAGCATGGACAAACCACCCAACCCTTCTGTGTCCCAATGCAAACCAGGAAAAGTAAGAACATCAAAGGCAGAGTCATTGTGAAGGTTAAAGGAGACACATATGTAAAGTGCTGAACATCACCTGCACACAAGCAAAGCCCTCCAAGGACATCGTTATCAGCATGGAAATTTTCTAATGACATCATGAAAGCTTCTTCCACAATGTTAACTTTTTTTAAATATTGAACTGTATATGAAATATGCAAATTACATTTAAAAACAAGTATACCTAGAAAAACTGACATTAGGTGATCAGATTCTGAGTGGTTTTCTTTTTACAGCTTTCTGAACTTTCCAAACTATCTATAATGGTCTCCCTTTCTTATAACTTAAAAAAATCAACAGGTATTTAATCCATAGGCTTCTGCTACTGACAAACAACTCATTCATTTCCTATACGGCTAATTCAACCAAAATGTAAAGATTACCTTTTGTGTCGTAGGAGTTTAGACATGCTGGTGAAGGTCCAGCCACAACTGTCAGAGTCACAAATAAAAGGTCTTTCACCTTAGAAAAAGAAAAAAATTACGCCACATAATCATAAATGCAAGCTACCACAAAGACAAATCTTAGGTGCAAATGCTCTATTCTCTAGCTCATTACCTGTATGACTTCTCAGGTGAATTTTCAGGCGACAGGCTTTGTCATATTGTTTGCTACACCCAGGAAAGGAGCAAGAAAAGAGTTCTTGTTCCCTGAAGTGAGCTCGGTTATGGGAAAACAGAGCACTCACTGTGATGAATGTCTTCTCGCAGCCTGAACAAAGAAAACACAAACCCTGCTCACTGGTGTGACAAAAATCACATAACATAGCTAAACTAGTCACCCCTCCAGGACACTATTCACACTGAAGCAAACAAGAAAGAAAATGAGTCAGAAGCACCTCCAGAAAGTTACAACCACCTTTACAACCATTATTGTAATAGTGGCTAAGGGCAGCCAATAAGCACACGCAGGTCACCTGCTGTGATACGACTTAGATAGGAAGCGAATGTTCAAGGGAAAGTCCTCCAATCACAGCCATGTGCTCTCCGTTTCCACAGCACAGATCTTTCTTACATTTTGTGAACTCAAATGTCAATGCTGTCTGTGCGAGACCAACGAAAATCCAACAAGATATTAGATACTAAGGAACAAGGATTCTGTCTGGGAGGGCTGAACTTGGAAGGGCCATAAACCACTGTTCTATCCGAGACTTTGCCCCTCCACGTGATACTGTGTTCTCCAAAATTACAAATGTCCTCCCTGACATCCTCTGCAAAAGGCAGCAGCCCCCGCTGTCACCTCGCTTCTCCTTTTCCTTTTGCTTATTTCACCAGGGTTCCCTGCTGTGAAAGGAGGCTACCAGGGTCGTCTTCATTCACATGGCCTTTTCCTTCACTCCCATCTTCAACCCCAGTTGAGCCACCAGAAAAGAGCCTACCTCAGCAATCCCCAGACTTTCCACATCAATAGGTCTCCTTTAACAAAAAGATTCAGTGCTTAGAGTAGAAAATACCAGGTTGCAAGATGCTGACCAGGTATCTTTGTGGCAGCTCTTCCCAGAGTCTGTAACATGCTACCATCGTGCCTATACACCACCCGGCAGATACACACTGCACATCAAAGCACTAGCCCCAAGAACCCTACTTACCCTTGCAACACTCAACTGGGAAATGCTCCTCTTCCTAAATGCCCGAAAATCATCCTCTTCCTCCTCTTTGGCATAAAACTGCCCTCCCTTCCCACCCCCTCATTCCCTATTTTGGGCTTTGGTGTATTCACACACTCCAACAGGTAAATCGCTCTGCCTTAGCAAGAACCACCCTCCCTGCAATCAACAGTCAAGCCTTTTGATCCTGCCTCTGCAATCTTGCCTACGTGGAACCCCCTCACCATTCCCACTGCCTCAGCAAACTCAGGTCTAGAACATTTAATGGGGCTTCTTCACTGGTCCCTCTCCTGAACCCACCCATCCTGAACACTACTGATCATCCAACCCAAAACTCCCTGATCTTCCTAGTACTATAGTTGGAATGATGCTCTTTGTGCATTTTACTAGGGAGCAGTCTATAAGCCAGATTCATAGAGTACAACTGAGAAACGTTCTGAAACAGTGGTTTAAATCTATATTCTCCACAAAGAGGGATGCACAAGACCATTCACAAGCATGTGGGAAAAAAAATATTAGAACCTATTAATATATTTTTCATTTCACCCTTTCAAAATCCCTACTATATTTAAGTGTATTTTCTAGCAAACACATCACTATGAGAGCACTGCACATATATGATGCATCAATACACACGCAGGGCACATGCTAGGCACACAGTTGAGGTTCTGTTTTAATGAAGAGGACACGGAAGGTCCCTCGCCCTCTACTGGACCCTCCCACACCCTTCCAACTTCACTCCCCACCTCACACCACCACCACAGCCCGCATTCCCTTCCTTGGCTTTGCTGTGTCACCCACCAACACTGCCTTCCACCCCAGCTCAAGAAAGCCAACTCCTTCCCAGGCAGGAATCTTCCTCCTGTGCCTCCCCAGGCACCTAAATCTGCCTCTCCTGGCGGAGTTCACTGTTTTGGAACCTGCATTCCCTCCTACTGCAGGCAAGGACAGAGGGGAAAGGACCCTTCACTGGATTTTACCCACATTACTGGGCCTCAGACTCTTCATCTGTAAAATGATAATTTTTAGAACTTCCCAAAACTGTGAAGTCCAAAGAAAATAAAAGCATAAAAGGCCAGAAAACTGCAATGCACCACACACCTGTGACTATCCCCTCAGGGCCTTAGGGTGTTGCATCTGGCCAGATTCATCTGTGCCACCTAAATATCTGATAATTAAATGTCTAACTGATGAGAGACCTAAGAAAACAGACACCTGACTCATAAATCAATTCTCTAGGAAGATGCTTTATCACTTCATTAACCTGAAGCACCTCTAAGAGGGACCTGTTGCCTCCACCGCGGGAAAGGAAGGCTGTAATTCTTAGTGCTACCTTTGTCGAAATCCCCACAGCAATGCAGGGTTGAAGTGTCAAATCGAAATCACCTGAAAAGAACTGGAACACAAACACCAGAGTGCTCCGTTCCCGCCCCTCACTCTTGGCCCACGGAATTTAAATCCTGCTCAACTGAGCAGCCGAAGGCAGGGCGACGCCGCACCCACTCTGGGCGACTGAATTTGGACCTGGGGCCCCGGGAGCCCCCCGAAGCCCGCCCGCAGGCCCGTGGTGCGCGGTTACCGGGAAAGTCACACTTGTAGGGCCGCTCGGGCTCGAAGTGGGTGCGCTGGTGGGAGCTGAGTTTGGCGTGCGTGGGAAAGCGTTCGGAGCACACCTCGCACTTGAACAAGTTCTCCTGCTCGTGGCCCTTCATGTGCGCCTTGAGGTTGTACACGGTGGTAAACTTCTTCCCGCAGCCGCCCACCGGGCAGCCGAAGGGCCGCAGCTTGTCGTGCGACTGCAGGTGCCGCTTGAGCTTGTAGGAGGTAGTGAAGGCCCAGCCGCAGCCGTCCAGGGGGCACTTGAAGGGCCGCCGGCCCTGGCTGCTACCGTGCGTCAGCAGGTGCACCTTGAGCTGGTGCTTCTTGGCGAAGGAGAGCGCGCACTGCGGCTCGGGACAGCGGTAGCCCGGGGCACCAGAGCCGGGGCCCTGGGGACCGCGGCGGCCCCCGGCCGGGCTCGCGGCCTCCTCG